TGTGTGTGTGTGTGTGTGTGTGTGTGTGTGTGTGAGCCAACTCAACAAAAGAATGTTGTTGTTTTTTTTAGATGCCACTAAAAGGAAGATTTGAACCTTAAAACCATTTGCATTTGTCCATTTTCACTTCAGAGCTCAGCAAGTGACTGTGGTATATTTAGAGATCTCTGAGCACCAATGTTTTGTTTTCACTGAGTGGTTTACAAAAACTACATTTTTCTAGACTGCACACTGTAGAGAGTAGTGCTGTCCTGACTGTTTACACGACCCTCACCTTTTCCAGAACTCTGACTCATCCAGCTGGCTGGTTTAAAGAAAACATAATAGACTCTCTCCAGTCTCTCATAACAACAAATCACTGACAGATAGATACAGACACAACTAAGAATAAAAAAACCCCCATGCATTTCTGGATATCTGAAAGATAAACAATGACAAAGAATATATCAGTATTTAAACATGAGATGTAAAAATAAGCCACTGAAACAAAATGTAATGTCTTTACTAAATGTCTTTTACAACCCTTGCCTAGACCTAGACACAACATAGGTGTGACTCCCCACTCCTGCTACTCCCAAGAAAATGGGACTGGACTCTCACACACATCACATCACCACACGCACTCTGGTTTTTCTTCATGCACACTTCCTATAATTAATATCTCTTTCTGCTATTTGCACATTTTTTACTGTAAATTTCTAAGTTAAATCTGTAAATTTTGTATAACCTGTAAATTGCAAATACTGTAAAACCACTGTCATTTAATGGTCGGGCATTGCATTGCACAGCTACAAGCATTTCAGCTCATGTCATACTGTGTATGGTTGTGTGTGTGACAAATAAAATTTGAATTTGAATTTGAAGCAACACACACTCAAAGCTGGTAAACAGCTGGCTCTTTACTGGGTACAGAGGAGAAAAGGGGAGTGGTGAGGTGAGTTGGAGGTTAAGAGGCCATCCGATAATCCCTGGAACTTCTCCAGTCTCCACCTGTCTCAACAGCTACCACACACCACACACACACCTAGGAGGGAAACCTGCACACACCCACACACACTCTTATGGCAGGAACCATGGAAACAGACATGGGACATGATCATGGATCGTAACAATGTCTAAACTTGCAGTTTACTTTGAAAACAGTGTACATTAGATAAGCAACTTTTCTAATGCACTCCCAGAAGCTTCTCCACATTGCTGTAAAATTCTTACAGAAGTGCAAAAGGAAGAAATCTTACAAGCAAGATCAACTAAATTTGAATCACATTTTTTGTTATTTTACCTGTTTTCTTTTTTTCTTTTTTAGCAGAAGAATCTACTATCTTCTGTGGAACCAGTTCCCAGTTTAGATTTAGGGGACAGAAATTTACAGGATTAGGTTTAAAATATGGTGACCCTGAACCCCCCGTAGTTACACTGCAACTGACCTAAACAACTGGGGATTTCCGTGATTTACTGAGTGTGTCTTCTTCCCTCTCTGTGTTTATACACCACTTGGAATTTAATCATTATTAATCATCCTCTGGCTCTCTCCAATGTGTGTTGTCTCACTTCCTTCACCCACCAAGTGGTCACGGCAGATTCCTCCCTCCCTGAGACTGGTTCTGCTGAAGGTTTCTTCCTATTAAAAGGAGATTTTTCCTTTTCACTGTTACCAAGTGCTTGCTCACACGGGGTCGTCTGATTGCTGGAGCTTTCGCTCTGTTGTTGTAGGGTGTCCATACTATAAGAGTTGAGTTGTGCCTATATTGAATGTAATTAAAGGTATGAAACTTTCATATGAACTGATCAAATAGCTCTAAGATCACTGGCTGACTGAGTGCCTGCCCTTTTGTTGTGTCAGCTGTTTTGCTAAATTGTTGCTAAACAGAATAAGTAGTTGCAGCAGAGAACATGCACAGTAAGTGAGAGGCTGTGTGTAGAAAAGATTTACTTGACTAATTTCCAGTCTTGAATAAAACACTGCTTAAATGAAAAAAAGAAAAAAGAAAAAAATGCAGAGTGAAAGCGTATACTTTGCGTGGAGGGATCAGGAGGCGGAGGTAGCTGCTGATGACCTCATAACTCAGTGTTAGTGGGTTCTCGGACCCCACTGGATTTCCTCCTCCACAGACAGTACCAATAAGCCCAGCTCTGTAACTGTGCAGGTGATCCAGGCTTTTCAGTGGGAGAATATAATGAATTGGAAAATCAAAGAGTTCACTGTATAAGCCTTCCTTCAGGAATGAGTTGGCGCTGCTCGATAGGAATAGCATTGTGAGCTCTAATGCCCTCCCTGGAGCCTTGGCCTTCAACCTCCATTCACATCCTGCCATTTGCCGCGGCTGCAGGCCTGCAGGCTCTACATGCCACTTTATACTGAGGCTAATACAGCTGGATAACGCTAAATCCACCCACGACTCAAACCCACACTCTCCTCGCTTAAGCGTCGGACAGGCATTTTCAAATAGTGAAACAGATTTATTTTTTTTTAAGTGTGAACTTTGTATCCTCCTCTCACAAACACAAACTTGCACCATATACCTGGTGACCTTGTGTGCATCATTTACTCCATAAGGGTCACTGTGGCTGCGCTCCACTATTCTAACTCCAGGCAATGGTGGGAGAACATTGCTTTGAATTCAGCTAATTCAAATCCAGCATTTGCACCCTTCACCTGCATCATCTCCATTAATACTTACAGTTATCTAATAAAAACGTTTCTAATATTATGTTTTTGTTGTAACCTTCGATTCACAGGCA